GGGGGGGGGGAAGAGAAACAAATGTAATAATCTAACAATAAAGATTTAAAAAAAAAAGAAAAAGAAAATAATTGGAAATCCTATGAAGGAAATGCTTGAAGAGATTGTGGATTCAGTTCTGATCAGCACAACAAAGCAAATATTGAGATATAGACAAAAATTCACACAAATAGTTGGAGTTCCCAGGAAATAATAAAGTTATGTTAATACTATACTGTAGGCTAAGAACAATGCAATGAGTTCTCTGAAAACCAAACTCGATATAACTTCATTTAAAATACTTTATTGCTGCCCTGGCTGGTTTAGCTCAGTGGATAGAGCATTGGCCTGTGGACTGAAGGGTCCCGGCTTCGATTCCGGTCAAGGGCATGTACCTTGGTTGCGGGCATGTCCCCAGTAGGGGGTGTGCAGGAGGCAGCTGATCAATGTTTCACTCTCATCGATGTTTCTAGCTCTCTATCCCTCTCCCTTCCTCTCTGTAAAAAAAGCAATAAAATATATTTTTAAAAAAACAAAAGAAAAAAAAATACTTTATTGCTAACCACTAGTAACAAGTATCTGCACTTGCTAGAAACATGGTGGCACTAGACTTGCTGAATGCAGGGTTGCTAAAAATGTGGACTTTGTAGAAAAGTGGGTTGGGGCAGCAATATCTGCATCTGAAAAGCACAATTAAGTACATGCAAAAATATGTGTTCCTGGATATGATAAGCAATTAATATATAATATATACAAGGTAGTCAAGAGGATGGTTAACCAAAAAATAGAGTTATTAAGCAGGAAAAGGATATAGAAAAAATTCCTCAAAAAGTAGGTACAAATGACCAACAAGAACATAGAAAATATTTTCCTCACTGATCAAGGTAGAATCACTCAGTCTTCCAAACACACTACCAAGCACAAATCCTTTCCTGTGAATTTAGCGCAGCGGGGACTATTGGGACTTCAGGAATAGAAGGGAGTAGCAGAAACAGACCAACCTGCCCCAGGACAGCAACTACCTAGGAAACTGGAAAAACAAGCAGTACCACAGTCTACATGGGAGGACAGAGCACACCCTGGGGGATAGGGCCTGGGAAATGGCA